TAAGTTGAGTTCTAACCCTAAGACTAGATGGTTGTAATTGTGACCTTCCTCCCTACGGAAAAAAAACCCCTCAGCTTATATAGACACTAGGGGTACCTAGAGTTACACATGGTCGGTTGTCAATCTAGGGATACGCATGATAGCGTTGCACGCAATTCTTGGAGTACATGTCAAGTCTTCGGCAGAGTCCACCTTGATCATGCCGAAGTGCAAGGCCCCCGGAGTCATTCCTTGTAAGAAGGATGGGCCATAGGCTCAGCCCACGGACTTTGGGTCAACTAGCTTGGTACCCCTAGCCCAGGACGCTGTCAGTAGTGATCTAAACGCTCATATATTTCTTTACATAGGTTTAATGTATCTGCCTTGCAGTGTGCAGGTTCTTGCATAAGAGTACACTCCCCTTATTTTTTCATGACTTTCTCCTTTGCATAACTAAAAATTGCCATGTAAGCGGGCATTGTACCCAGACGTTAAGGCAATTAGATATTTACCCACATTTTACTTTTTCATTTAACAAATTTACCCCTCAAGATAGAGGGACCCGAAGCTACACACCAATGAAACAAAAAACAATTCCTTATTGAACATTATCTTTAAATTTCGTTTCCTTATTTGACACAGAAAAACTTTTTCTTCCCTATCTAATAACGAGTCTAATTGTATGCCCTTTATTAGACTCGTTGTTAGAGAGGAAGAAATCATTTGTCGATGTCAAATACAACATACATTTAAACACGAGATAAATAAGAAATTCTCTGTGAACCAACCTATGGTTGGATGGTTAGAGGGACAATGGTATCCCCAGTTCATCAGGGTTCAAGTCCTGGTGCTCACATTATTACTGAATTTATTTTAGGATTTCGGTGATGTGCCCTTAGTGGGAGGAGACGTTCTCGTCGATGACGAGGCGCCTACGGTGACTTCGTAAATCTCAAGATGATATTTCGATTCAATCTCTCGGAGGTGCTCATAGGGGTGACATGTGCGTGTGTGCGTTTATAGAGGTGAGTGTATGCACGTGTATATGAGTGCTTGTGTCTTTACTGAAGTTAGCAAAGTTAAGTTCCTGCCAACTGGACATTAGCAACAAGCACGGACGATGTCTATCTCCATACGTTGGTTTCTGTGATGAATGTGCCACCCCCGCTGACCAACTGCATTGCCCTTTGTGTTCTCACTGATGCTAGGTGTTATATATTCATTACCACAAGTAGTCCACTACTCTGGTGCAGATATCACTCGCAATTTTTCTCAAGAAAAAATTGATAAAACTTGAGTTTTTTCTGGAAAAAATACCGTAACACTCGAATTCAAGTACTTGCGGGAGGGAGAAAAATATTATTCCCATATTGAGATTCAAACTATAGTTACTGTAAACGAAATGAAGACTAGTAAGCTATTTGACTTTTTTTACCAGTCAAACCATTTGTATTAGTGTAAAAATATATTTTACTAGGATTGCCTCCTAGTGTTTTTCTCATCAGCATTGCCCAATTCATTCTCTTCGGAATTTTGTATTCTTTTTTTCGTATCACAATTTTTTTCATTGTTGTTATCTTTCTAGATCACATCGCTCGTATTTTGATACGATAAAGCTAAAATATGACCGATTAGAAACTCACAACAGATCCGAACGATGTGGATCTCATCCATTTCTTGATCGGACAGGGCTGGCGATCTTGCGATGATTTTGCGTTGCACTTTCCTGACTTAATTGACGTAATCCTGCACACATTGATTAACTTCCGTACCAATTAGATCATGACCGGCCCGCTCTCCCGATTAAATCGCATGCCAGGCCCAGCTGCCCCCTTCTTTTCTCTCTCTCTAAAAAAATTTTGGTGCAAAAAATATAAGTGTTGGGTTTGGGAATCAAACCTAGCACGTGGTGTGCTTATACCCATCACCCTTGCCATCTCACCAACTGTTACTTATATAAAAAATGCCCATTGCTTAACTTTGCTAACTTCCACCCAATCGGAAGTTAAAGAAACAAATCCGCACAATTCCCCCTTTCCTAATTTGTATGCACGCATTAGCTTCATCTTATTTCTTTTTTCTGGCGTGTCCACTGTCTACTAGCAGTTAATTAGCAGCTACTAATCATATACATGCAGAAAAAACAAAATTGATGATGTCATCAAAGATTCTTTCCAATGCAAAAATTCAAAATATTTTGTAGCTCAAACCGTCACTCCGATTGAAAATCCGTTTTCATATAAAAGATTCGTCAGGAGAAGATCTTCGAAACAAGATCTCATATTAATATGTTTCGACGACTTTTTTTTCAGGTCAAAATTTATCAGGCTCAGGCTAAGTAAAGTTATCACGTCTCTGGTTCATAAGTTACCATCTTGTTTATACAGAAATTACCGAGGTATAAAATGGTCAACCAACCTTGTTCCGAGGTGCAAATGAACCAAAGGAAATAAGTAGGTGATGTCATCCTAGATTCCCCACTATTTCAATACTTCAAAACGTTTTGTAGCTCAAACCGGTCATATTTAAAATCCGTTTTCACATAAAAGATTTGTTGCGAGGAGATCTTCGAAACTAAATCCCATATTGATATGTTTCGGCGACTATTTTTTGGATTAAAAGTTACCGGGGCCAGACTAAGTAAGCTATCATGTATGTGATAAGTAGGTTACATCTTGTTTATGTTGAAATTACCCGGGCATAAAAATGATCCTTCTACCTTCTCCCCATGTGCAAATGAATTAGAGGACAAAAAAGTTGATGTCATCTTAGATTTTCCTCTATTTTAAAACTTTAAAATGTTTTATAGTTCAAACCATCGTTCCGATCAAAAACCATTTTCAAATAAAAATCCGCCATGACAAGAGCCTCGAAACTATATCGCATGTTGGTATGTTAGGACGATTTTTTTCAGACCAAAAGTTACCACTAATGGGCTAAGTAATTTATCACGCATGTGCTACATATGTCACCATGTTGCTTACACGGATATTACCAGGGCATAAACCTGGTTTCTCTAACAGCCTTATCATCTTAGGTTAAAGTTACCGCGGTTTTTGTGCGTGAGTTATCACGTATACAATGCCTATATTACCAAACTATTTACACAAATATTATCGGGGTATGCTTTTAAACAACCCCATCGCCAAAGTTATCAGGACTGGGGCACATAAGTTTTCAGGTCTGCGATGTGTAAATTACCATGCTATTAACATTAAAGTTGCCGTGGGTACATTTTATCACCCCCTCACCAAAGTTATCAGCGCCGAGGCACGTAGGTTATCAGGTCTGCGCTGTGTAAGTTACCATGCTATTCAGGTAAAAGTTACCTGGGGATA